CACTAACCATGCAGAACTCCATCAGTCACCGGCTGCCATCCTGAAAAATACCCCATTATCCCTTTTCTTTGCCTTCTGACAGTCAGTCAATCTTCTATCCATGCCAGTACCTTGCCCCTAACACAATTGGCCCTTAGCTGCCTTCTATGCAGCACCTTGTCAAAGGCCTTTCGGAAATACAAATAGATCTCGTCCACTGGCTCTACTTTGTCTAAATTGCTCGTTACATCCTCAAAGAATTCTAACTGACTGCATAATCTCTCTGTTACCTTTTATATCAGACAATAGGGGAGAATATCACAGCAGTACAGAGGGAGAACACCTTGGAAGGTTCATCAAGCCAGGCCATATGGATTGAGCTCAGGATTAGGAAGGGTGCAACCTCTTTGATGAGATTGTACTATAGGCCTCCCAATAGCCAGCACGTGACAGAGGAACAGATATGTGGACAGTTTACAGAAAAATGTAAAAACAATACCATTGACATGGGGTGGGACTTTAACTTCCCCTATATTGGTTGGAATCACTTAGTGGCAGGGTCTGGAATCACCTAGTGGCAGGGTCTTGGATGTGGAGGAATTTATTAGGTATGTCCAGAACATTTTTCTTAAGCAATATGTAAAAAGTCCAACTAGGGAAGGGGCCATACTACACCTGGTATTGGGGAATGAGCCCAGCCAGGTGATTGAAGATTCAGTGGGGAAGCGTTTTGGGAACAGTAACCATAATTCTATTTTAAATTACTTATGGATAAATACAAGAATAGGCCTCAGGTGAAAGCATTAAATTAGAGTAAGGCTAACAACCACAATATTAGGCAGGAACTGGGGAACGTAGACTCAGGGTGGCTGTTTGAGGGTTAATACACATCTGGCATGTGGGAATCTTTTAAAAATCCTGTTGATTAGAGTTCATGACCAGCACGTTCATATGAAATCAAAGGATAAGGATGGCAAATTCGGGAACCTTGGATGACAAAAGAAATTGAAAGCTTAGTCAAAAAGAAAAAGGAGACATGAGTAAGGTTTAGGTTTCGCTTGAGGAATACAAAAATAGAGGAAAGAACTCTAACAAGGAAGTAGAAGGGCTAAAAGGGGCTATGAAATGTCTTTGGCAAACAGGATCAAGGAAAATCTCAAAACGTTTCATACATATATAACGAACAAAAGAGTAGCTAGAGAAAGTGTAGGTCCACTCAAGGACAAAGAAGGCGTGCAGCTGCAGAAAGATGGTGAGGTCCTTAACAAGTACTTTGCATTCAGAAAGAGAAGAATGCGGTGGATGGTGAGCCTCAGGAGGGGTATGTTGAAAATCTTGGGCATATCAATATAAAAAAGATGATGTTGGGAGTTTTTGAAACACATCAAGACAGACAAGTCCCCAGCACTTGATGGGATCTATCCCAGAATCCTGAGGGAGGAAGGTGAGGAAATTGCTCGGGCCTTGTACAAAAATCTTTGTACCCTCTTTAGTTACAGGAGAGGTCCCATAGAACTGGAGAATTGTCAACATTGTTCTTTTATTAAGAAGGGCAACAGTGGTAATCCAGGAAATTCCAGGCCAGTGAGTCTTACATCAGTAGTAGGGAAATTACAGGAGAAGATTCTTAGGGATAGGAGTTACTGACATTTGAAAAAATATGGATAGATCAGCAATAGGCAGCATGATTTTGTGCAGGCAAGATCATGTCTCACAAGCTTGATTGAGTTTTTTGAGGAAGTAACAAAGATGATTGATGAT